AACATTCTGCATGTTTGTCCTCAGGTGTTTGTGAACTATCCCCAATTGTTACCCAACTGACTAATGCATTGTATCTAAACCACTACTTCTTAACAAACTGAATAAACTAGCAGAACATTCCAATAAATTGTTGACTGCCTATATTAGGTAATTGCAATTACGAGCCCCTAAAAACAGTCCCAAATATTCTTAAAGGAAATTTTGCTCCCAATGACTTGGCTGAGGATCACTTCACATATTTCTCTGTGCATTGCCTATTTGTATAGAGTGTTTGAGCTTTAACTTAACTTGTGTTTCCATTTATGATCACGATTGTAAGAACCTGTCAGGAAGTTGCCTTGTACTAGGCAGGCAGTTCCCTGGCTAACTGGGGAGTTAATGGCTATCGGGACTGGGTGGGATTCACTCTACAGTCAGATCTTATCAAGTGCAGAACGGAGGGGTTAAGTGGCCGACTCCTGCTCCTAGCTCTTATCTGAAGCAACACAGTAACACTGGAGGGTCGCTGAAATCAAGTAGCAGAATGCTGCTAATACTTGGGAAATGAAATAAAGACAAGGAAAGCTGGAGAAACTCAACAGTTTATGGCATCATTGGTGGAGCAAGAAATGGAATTATGTTTCATTGGCACAGGGAAGAATGGGAGATTACAGGTTCTGAGCAAGGGATGGCTAGACCAAGGACAAAAGGAAACTGTGAGTTGGGGTGAAAGACATGGGACAATGAATGACAGAAGAGTTAGTCTTCCAGGCCCAAAAGGATGGCTGATGGAGCAAGAACAGAAACAAAAGGAAACAAACAGAAATACTCAGCAAGTCTGTCCGCATCTGTGGAGAAAGAAAAACAGAGTTAACGTTTCAAGTCCAGTATAACTCTTCTTCAGAATTAGTGAGGCCTACAGAGAATCAGAAGGTATTGCTGTCTGAAAGTGAAATGAGAAACCAAAACATGGTAAGTAAACGAAAGAAGAGAGACAACAAGGTGCAGGGCTGGATGAACACAGCAGGCCAAAAGAAAGTAGGCACGGAGATTAAAGTCTGACATGGTTAAACTCGTGTTTTTAAACTCAAATGTTGAGTCTGAAGATGGTAAAGTGCCTGACATTTCTCTCCCACAGATATTCTTATAAACTGCTGAGTACTTCCAGCATTTTAAGAAAACAAAAGGGACATTGGTCAAAACTATGGCAACTTTTTAACAGAATCATCTGCAATGAAGTAGGGACTGACTTAGTGGGATAATGGTAATTCCATTGTCAATGGACTAGCAACCAGAGGCAAAGGCTAATGCTTGAGGACATGGGTTCAAATCCCACCATGGAAACTGCTGCAATTGAAATTCAACTAATAAAAAATTTGAAGTAGAAAGTTAATCGCCGTAATGGTGACCTTGAAATTACATTCAAAAATCTGCTGCTGGTCTAACCAGGCCCACAGCAGTGTAGCTGACTCCGCAATGTCCTCTGAAAGGGTCTGGCAAATTACTCCATTCAAGGGCAATTAGGGATGGACAAAAAAATGCAGACCTTTCCAGAACAGCTTTGGTGTGCAGAGGGATCTTGGAGGTTCAAGTCCATAGTTCCCTGAAAGTGGCCACACAAGTGGATAGGGTGGAAAGAAGGCGTAATGCATACTTGCCTTTATTGGTCGGGGAATTGAGTACAAGGGTCAGGACGTTATGTTGCAACTTTATAAGTCTTTGGTTAGGCCACACTTAGAATATTGTGTTCACTTCTGGTTGCCACATTACATGAAGGATGTGGAGGCTTTGGAGAGGGTGCAGAAGAGGTTTAGCAGGATGCTGCCTGGATTAGAGAGTGTGAGCTATGAGGAGAGGCTAGAAAAACTCGTGTTGTTTTCTCTGGAGTCACAGAGGCTGAGGGGAGACTTGACAGAAGTCTAAAACATTATGAGATGCATTGATAGGTTTGGTGGTCAGAATCTTTTTCACAGAGTTGAAATGTCTAACACTGGGGGGGCATGTATTTAAGGTGAGGGGGGAAAGTTCAAAGTAGATGTGGGGGGCAAGTTTTTTACTCAGAGTGGTAGGAGTCAAGAACACGCTGCTAGGGGTAGTGGTGGAGGCAGATGCATTTAAAGGACATTTAGATAAGCACATGAATATGCAAGGAATGGAAGGATATGGACCAAGGGTAGGCGGAAGGGATTAGTTTCATTTGGTGTCATGTTGGCACAACATTGTGGGACAAAGGGCTCATTCCTGTGCTGTACTGTTCTATGTTCCAGATGCTCACATCCATAAATGAATAAAAGAAATTGAAGAGTAACACGGAATTACTGCATCTCGAGGATGAATTTTATCTATGTATCTATCCCCTTCAGTGTAAACTCCAATATAGCATGTAAAACATTCAGATTTGTACTACATAGTCATTGCTGCGTTGCAATGCTGCAATTATCAAATGATATGGAGCTGAACTTCTCATTTTGTGTGAAAGGTGTCCCTGCTCATAATGCAACACGGAATGTATTTTGTGCTCAACATCAAAATCATGCTGCCCAACATCGTTTCAACTTCAGTTTCTCAGTAGAACTCATTGTTGTAGAAGGCTGTGGAGGCCAAGTAATTGAGTGTATTTCTGAGAGAGATAGATAGGTTCTTGATAAGTAAGGGCATCAAGGGACATGGGGAAAAGGCAGGAGAATAAGGTTGGGAAAATAACAGCCATGATCAAATGGTGGAGCAGATGTGATGGGCTGAATGGCCTAATTCTGCTTCTACATCTTATGGTCTCATGTTTTAATTGAAGCGGAGAAGGTTGAGTGCAGACCTGACTGAGGTCTACAAAATTGAGGGCAATAGATAGGGTCGATAAGAATAAACTTTCTCCCTTAGTAGAGGGGATTACTAGAGGGCCTATATTTAAGATAAGAGGTTTAGAGAGGATTTAAGGAGAAATATTTTCATCCAGAGGGTGGAGTACCTGGAACTCACTGGCAGAAATGGTGGTAGAGGCAGTAACCATTACAACATTTAAGAAGTGTTTAGATGCACACTTAAAATGCCATAGCACACAAGGCTACAGTCAAGTGCTGGGAAATTGGATTAGATTATATAGATGCTTGAAAACCAGTATGGACTGAATGGGATGAAGGGCCTCTTCCTGTGCTGTAATACTCAATGACTCTATAACTCAGCATTATTAAATTTCAAGTTTAAATTTCAGATAAATTTCTGGGGAGTGGCACTTCCTTTTGGAGAGATGTGATCTGACAGTCTCCTCTGACAGAAATCCTCACTGAGACCTCAGTATATCCCCCTCTTGTACTTCTGAAAGGACACAAACAATGCTGTACATTACCAAGGAGTGTCCCTGCTATAAAGGGTTCAGTACTGGAGGCTGGTTTGTGATGTAAAATGACACCAACAGCATGGGTTCAATTCCTGAACCAGCTGAGATTCTCCTTTTCAAACGCTCCCCTTGTCTGCGGTATGGTGACCCTCATGTTAAAATGCTGCTGAGAGGTCAGTGAGATTGATTAAGAGTTATGAGAGAGTGGAGGTAGTGGGTGTAGCTTGAAATTGATACGGGGCTATGGTAGGGATCAGGTAGTGGTATTAGATTGCAGAATTGATAGGCTGGATTTGTCATTGTCAGTTCCAGTGCCTAGGTCAATATGGTCCATCCAGCTTCAGTTCCTTTGTTCAGACTTTGTAGTGTTTGATACAACTGAATGGCTTGCCAGGCCATTTTAGGTGTTTAAGAATCATCATATTGCTATGGATCTGGAGTTACCTGGAGGTCAGACCAAGTAAGGGTGGCAGATATCCATCCCTAGAGGGCATTAGTGACCAGGTGTCCTTTAGCTGTAGTTCAGTGGATAACACTCTCAACTCTGAGTCACATAGTTTTCAAATCAAGCCCAACACCAGGACAAAGATAAAGCTGTTGGTAAGGATGATGCTGTTGTTCGAAGTCCCATCTTTCAGACTAACTGTCAAACTGAGGCCCAGTCTACTCTGTCAGGTGGGTGTAAAAGATTCTATGACTCAATTTCAAGGGAGAACAAGAGAGGTCTCTGGCGGCCTGGTCAATGTTCACTCATCAACCAAGATTATTTAATCAGGATCATATTGCTGATTGTGGGAGCTTGCTGTGCACAGTTTTGGCAGATGTCTCATACTGCGGCACTCCAAAAGGGTACCTCAGTAACAGAAAAGCGCTTTACATTCCTGAGAATATGAAAGGTGCTCTAGAAATGCCGTTTAGTTCTTTCAGTCACATCTTGGTGGCTGAAACACATACAAAACCTACACCAGAAAAATTCCAAGGTTATTTAACAGATTTAATTTGGAGGAACAACCCTGGACTGAGAACAGTCTGGTTATAAAGACCAGTAACATGTGAACAAGGGTAGTGAGCATCTGGAACTCATTGCTGGAAATGGTGGTTGAGATAGGACCCTTGTGATGATCCTCAAGTTAATCTACTGCCAGCCATCTCTCTCTTTAATGAGAGCATCCTTATGGTCAGGGGACTATGGAGACCTCACTTTACTTTACCCCTCTACAGCAGGGACTGACCACCTTAAACCCAGGATTTGCAGTTATTAAATGGTGAAGTAGTATGCAGGGAGATGGCAGAAAGGCAGAAAATTGGCACCACGGAACAGAATTGGTGTAGCACAGTGGGCCAAATGGCCTCTTTCTACTCCGTAATGATTCTGTGATTTGGTGAAATGAATAAATAAAATCATGGCTTTGTTTTTGAAATAAAAACACAGTAACTGATAATTTCATTCAAATAAACATATTAAAAATAAGACTGGCACTTTGCAAAATGAATCTCTGGTGTGTAAATTCACCCAATTTCCATTTGTTTTTCTGTTCACTTATCGATTACCTTTTTGTTTGGAATAGCAAGTTTAAATCTTGCCACCTTTTTGGCAAACACTAGGTTGCCCCGAGACGTGTCCAGCTTTCAACATAACATCCAACGACTGGATTTGCAAAGTTTATGTTCCTGATTGTATTTCTTATCGCCAATAACGTGAAACCGAGAGTGGGCATTTGTCACAAGCTCTTTAGGCAGTAATTTCCACACACAGAAAAAAAAACACACAAATCGCAAGTGGGCACGATTAATGAATGCCAGGAAACGGGGCCGTTTTTCCTGGCTGGTGGGAATGCGCTCTCAGGAACACAATTTGCTGTCCCCACTTTGCCTGGTTGGTCCACCAAATGACTTTAGCCCCTGAAACGAGGGGGTTCCCTCACGCACCACTTTCAATCCGATTTGTCTTTTCTCTTGTGGGTGAAAGGGACTTTGTTCTTAACGGCAGATCCCACGGCAGAGACCCCCCCGGCCAGGCTGGATGCCCCTCCTCTGAGCAGCCCGATGCCCAGTGTTGGCACCGCGGTGACGGTTGTCCTGGTCACCGTGTAGCCTTTGATCCCCAGCCAGGCCACTCCGCCCACCGTGGCCCCGACAGCCCCCTTGGTCGCTCCGAAAACGCCACCGGCCACCCGCGACAGCAGGCCGCTCTGAAACTCCGGGTGGTCCTTCTCTATGTCTGAAAATGGAAGAAATGAAGATCTGTCAGTCCCCTCAGCCTGATTCTTCCAGGCTCAGTGTACCAACCGCCACTACCCCAACCCCACCTCCTCACCCCAATACCACCACCCGCACCTCCTCACCCCGCCATGGGGTGCCCTAGGGCCACTCTCTCACCCCAACTAAATTTACGGCAAGCATCTACTTTCCGCTGCTGCTTATGGGATCTTGCTGTGCAATGGACAGATGGATTTCCAGAACGCACTGCACTTCAAAAAGTATCTCATTGGCTGCAAAGCGCTTCGACGTTTGAGTAGGGAGGGGGGGGGCTTGGGGTGAAGCGGAGGCTGCGATGGAAGCCATACAAATGCACCTCTGTCAAGGTGCACTTCATCATCTATCGGCGGTCTGAGTGCAGCGCTGTATTTGTTTCCTGGTTCGTGTCCACCCCCGCGCCAATTCAGAGGAAAAAGTGTAGGGGGACTGGAGTCACCTATACACCTGGCCGAGGTAGAAGGAGTTATCTCATCTGAAGGGAGTTCCCGGGGCTTTTACCCCAAGTCCCCAGCTTGCTCAGGCCGCTGGCATTCCACAAATAACCAGATGCTTTGAATTCAATGTTGCATTTGGTCCTGTCCGGAAGGTGAACTCGGAATCTCGGTGTAAATCCATCACCTTCCTTGTACCGTCAGTTAACCAGGGGGGAACCATTTGCAGTGAAGAACGATTTTAATAAAAGCGATGCTCAAACAAACCTCAAAAGATTCCTCCCGAGAGCGGTTTGGTGCATTGACAACACATCCCAGTCATATATTTATATCTAGCTCTATCAGATCATTCTCCAGCTCATCCTGTGCTACATATTGTGGCAGTCTTCCCAATCAATGTCTCAATTAGAGGCGAAGAGTCCCAGGTCGACAATATCTCATGCACCCTGCGGGGGCACTGACACAGGAAATCAGACAGTGAACCAGAATCTGGGAAGTGGTGGGACACAGAAGGTGGGAGCTGAACAGTGTCCCTTGGCACAGAGCCGAGTGTAAACCTCCCAGCGTGTAACCAGTCTCTCAGTTTCTCTGAGCTAACTGTTTCATTCACTGTCCCCAACAGTCCTGCGTCCCAGACAGGCGGTGGAGCACGAACTCTATCGGTCAACTTGCGGGAAATCAAACACCAGCTTCCCTCTCAGTAGCTGTTCAAATGTTTAACAAGAGCTCGGAGAAATTGTCGCATAATTCCAGGGCAGAACAAAAACAGGATTGCGTCTGATTAAAAATCCCTGCACCTTACTGACCATCTTTTGGCAACGGCGCTGTACCGTATCGTCAAATATAAGTTAGTCATAGAGCTGGATGAACACAGCAGGCCAAGCAGCATCATAGGAGCAGAGAGGCTGACGTTTCGGGCCTAGACCCTTCATCAGAAAAACCTTGTTATCTCAGATTCTCCAGCATCTGCAGTTCCTACTATCTCTGAGTTTATATATGTTTGTCAGTATATATGAGTTGTCAATATACACGAGTTTGTCTACATAATATATATTTGTCAATATATATATATTTGCCAGGTTGTTAAATGATCACGATTGCTCAGGTTGTCCTACATTTATAACAGGGCACTGGGATGGGGGTTATTTAAACAAGATACTGGGATGGGGGTAATTAAACAGGCCACTGCCACAGGGGTAATTTAAACAGGGCAGTGGGATGGGGTATTCAAACAGGACACTGGGATGGGGGGAATCTAACAGGACACTGGGATGATGGTATTTAAACAGGACACTGGGATGGGGTATTTAAACAGGACACTGGGACAGGGGGTATTTAAACAGGGCACTGGGATGGTGGTATTTAAACAGGGCACTGGGATGGGAGTATTTAAACAACACTGGGATGGGGGTATTTAAACAGGACACTGGGATGGTGGTATTTAAACAGGACACTGGGATGGGGGGTATTTAAACTGGACATTGGGATGGGGATATTTAAACAGGACATTGGGATGGGGATATTTAAACTGGACATTGGGATGTGGATTATTTAAACAGGACACTGGGATGGGGGGTATTTAAACAGGACACTGG